AAAATTACAAATATTTATCACATGTGGTTGAAGTACAGACTTTTATAGAAAATAAGTTTCCTCTTCTTGATGAAAACATTCTGCATGCTGGACTAATGAACACTCGTGACAATTTCAGCATTAAACAGCATCTTCAGAAAGGCAGTGGTGTTCCCAAATAAATGTGCTAGTTATGACAGAAAGAGGCTAGAGCGGCACCGCATACATAGCTTTACCTTCGCTTCAAAGTCTACAAACCTGTAAGTGATTCTGTCACTGTGGCTAAAATTTCTACCGGCCCAGGGGAAGACGGAGACAGGTGTTCAGAAAGCTGATCTGAAAAATCCATTACCTTTTTCATCTCTTCATCATTAAAAGAGAAGTTTGCAGATCCATTTATCTGTTTTGTTAAAAAATTTCAGTTTTATTCTTCATTTTAGCAATCCAATTTTTAGAAATAAAACTCAAACTAAGTCACATCAAATAATATGATGGCTCTGATTCCATTGTAATCACTATCAAAGGGTAAATTCTCATCTGTCCAATGCCAGAAAGCTTCTTTTTCCTTACACTCAATTTTTTTGTTAATTCAGTACAAATCTTATTTCTAGAAAAAGCATGCTTATAGTTTTCCCCATTACAAGTTATAAGATATCTACAAAAGTTACCTTAAATTTTTTTGTAATATTTTTCTTCACACCCCAAAAAGATAAAGGTAAAAATGTAAGTGTTACATCTCCTTTCACGGGCTTCCCGTATGTATACCTGAAAAATATTAAATGGGTTTTTTTTCCACATTTCCAACTTGATATTATCAAACTAACACAATTAAAAATATTACTTTCAATAGCATGTACTGGCAATACAACTTAAAAAGAAATATATTAAGACATACTCTTACCACAAATTTTCAAAACTAAACATAGCTAAGAAATGTCCTTAATCAGTGGTGATCCTTGGTATTACATCTCCCAAATAAGATGACTTTTAACTACAACACCTTAAAACAGTTCCTAGAACACACGTTACCCGGGCTCTAACCATTTCAGAGACCCCAGAGAAAATCTGATTGTAAGTAGAAGTGATAGTTTCCTGCTAAGAGATTTTTTTTTAATCCTCACCCAAGGACATTTTTGCATTTATCTTCAGACAGAGCAGGAGGGAGAGAGGGGGAAAGAGAGAGAGAGAAACATCGATGTGAGAGAGACACATTGAGTGGTCACTACCTGCACGACCCCAACCAGGGCCAGGGACAAACTGCAACCGAGGTACATGCCTTTAGCGGGAACCAAACCTGGGACTCTCTGGTCCATGGGCCAACGCTCTAACCACTGAGCCAAACTGACCAGGGCAGCTCAGCCATTTTTAAAAGATTATAAAAGACTTTCATTCCAGAAATTTGGACCGGCCCATTAGCTGCGTGCATGCCTAGTAGACTTCACAGTTTTTGAACATTTTAAAATGTTACTTGAAACTGCAATCACCACAGCCCATAGCTGTTTGTTTCAACCAGAAGGACTTATTAGAGTATAGACCAAACATGCTAGGACACCAAACGGGCTCGTAGCTCTCAAAATTGGGGGTTTTTGCATGAAAATTAAAAAAAAGAGTACAATGTTGTTGTTGTTTTTAATCCATAGTACCAAAATTATCTTCTTGATCTCTGCTGCTTTGCATTCTATGTATTAATTGTATCCCCTCTCATGATGAGAAAGTCTCTTCATGTGAAGGAGAGGCAATCTTTGGTAAACTATTTTACTGCCAGGAAGCCTTTTTTAAATGTGTTTCCTGGGTTCCTTCCATGTCTATTGTGAAATGCTGAGCCAAACATGGAAGTCAATTTTGCTTTGCACTCTGTAAATCAAACAGCAGTTCCTGCTTCCTGAATCCATTAGTTGAACACAGAAACTATCTGGATCAACTCAACTCAAATCAATGGAAAAATATAGCGTACTCAAAATTAAGAATAAAATAAATCAATCGTCAAATGTGCCACCCTTCCAAATGACAGCAGTAAAGTTAGTGGAAACCTTAGTTAGCAATTTCAGTATCAAATTCATTCACTCAAAATAGATTCCTCAAAACCTAACATTGCTATACCTGTTGAAGTTTAAATAAATGCATAACTAGAGTACCAGAACACTGTATTTCAAAAGAGTTATTTCACATGATAGTACAGGGAGCTTGAAAGTCCAGACATAATTTAAAGTATTCTCAGACACAAATATTTTTATTTAAATGAGAAGCAGATTTAGCTTCCCAAACCCCATGCTGATTATAATAATTGTATAACAAGGATATTGACTGTTATTGTCCTAAATAGAATCTCGAAGCATTTGGGATACACTAATTTTTCAGAAGTAGTAGTTGGACAAATCAAAGATATTCTTTTTTTTTTTTTTCTTTTGGAAAAAAGCCATAGCACAAAAGGTTTATAAAATGATACCTAAAAATGTGAAAAAGATGTTTCTCCTCATCTTTTATTTTTATGTCATTTCCAGGATACAATATGCCTCAATTCTTCAAAAAATAAATACATTTTAATAAACCTTGGGTTAAATAATATTTTTAAATTTCTACTATCTGCTGAGTTATGGAAGTAACTAGCTGCATGCTATGTTATTTTCTTTATAATTCTCTAGAACCCACTATGGTCAATGGAAAATAATCTATTATTTATTTTAATAAGGTGGGTATGGTGAGCACACGTTCACATTACAGCTAATAAATGCAAATTTTTATTCATTCAGTTAAAGATTTCAAAACTAAAAGAACACTGTTAACCTTCTTTGGGCAATTTTCAGCAATGCTTTGTACATTAACCATGCTTAGATGAGACAGATGGCTACTAGCAAAAAAGTAGCCTACATTGTTGATCATTTACTCATAATGACTATAATAGCTATTATGAAACATTTTTAAATCATCTGTTTATAACTTAATAACAATCATCCAAGTGGTAAGACAAAACTCATCTCTCATCTTTCAAAATACACCCAAGGAACAACTGGATTTCAAGCCCTACTCCCTACTCCCTAATTCTGTGTCAAGACCAACCCCACCATCCATGTAACTCAAGTTGGCTCATTTCAAATAGTAGGCTTTTGACTGGGCATGAAGGCCTCTGCTGGGCTACATGGAGCTTGGAACTAAAACCTTAGGGATCACATTGTTTACCCACTTGTTTTTTCAATAAGTATTTCTTGGATGCCTACTCCATGGCTAGCACTGTACTAGGCACCAAGATGTAGTAGTAAGCAAGACCAGACCCACCTTCAAAGCGGTGGACTAGCAAACAGCAGCACTGTGCAACTGCAGCTGTGAGAGGTATAAAGACAGAGGGTTAGGGGCAAGTAGCCAGCCTTGAAACAGCCTATGTAAAGGCCTTGTGGTCAGAAAAAGCACTTCGCACTCTTTGAAGCATAAGTAACATTTGGGAATAGAGTTTAGGAAGCTAGAGAAGGGGCTGGGTAGGATGTTTCAAAAGACATGAAACTAGAAGAGAACTTTGTAAGATATCCTAAAAATGTGAACTTCGTCCTCAAATCAATGGTCTGAACAAATGAGTCAAAATTGATTTGTCTTTAGCCCAAAAAAAGGGAGAGGAAGAAGATGGGGAGGAGGGAGAGGGAAGGGAAAGAGGAGAGAGACTGAGAGGAGGAAGACAACAGCAAGAACTCTGCATGATTCAGTGTAGAGAAAAGACTGGAAAGGGCAAACGTGAAATCAGGAAAAACTTAAGAAACTACAGCCGTAATTGAGGAGAGAAAGATTATGTTGGCCTGAGTCAAAAAAGTGGCATTGGAGATGGATTTGAAAGATATTAAGAGTTAAAAGCAATAGCATTGGATGCTGATTAGATGTGGGGTCTGAAGGAGCAGGAAGAGTGTAGCTGCCTGGGGCAGTCCACCAAGATAGGACACAGAAAAGCATCAAATTCAGGGGAAGATGTGTTTCGCTTAAAGAATCTGTGGGATACCCAGTGGGCGAAGACACGAGGATCTGCATCTCAATACAGAAATATGGGCTAGAGATATAGATTCAGGTGTCACCAATGTACAAACAGTAGCAGAAGCCCAGGCCGTGGAGAAGAAAATCCAATATGTAAAGAAGGAAGAGAGCGGAAGGTGGAACTCAGAGAAACAGGAACTTTTAAAAGATGGGCAGAAGGGAGTTGCCTGCAAAGAGTCTCAAAGGAGTAGCCAAAAGGGGGGGGGGGGGATGGGAGAAGACAACAATGTCCAATGCTCCAAAGCGGGGAGAAAAGGTAAAAGGAGTTTCAATGGCATGATGCAGGGTGAAAGGCAGATTGTAGGGGCTGAAGAATGAATGGGATGGACGTGAAAAAGTTAACTCTAAGTGAGCTGTGAAGAGGTGAAGGCAGGGCAGCAGCTGGAAGGAGACATGAGGTTCAAGGAGGGTTTGTTTCTTATAAAGACAGATATGTTTAAACACATAGTGAAGATGCCTTTGAAGAACCAAATGGAACAAATGGAAGAAATCAAGACACAGGTGAGAGAGGAAGTGGGACTGGGAGCCTCTGACAGGAGGCAGCATCCACGGCCTACGTGCAGGGAGAACAGATGTTGCTCTCCTTATGACAGACACAGGATCATCATCTTCATTCCCACATTTTCTGGGACACGATATTTATAAAGTGGGCCTATGCCCATTTTTATAGACTTAAAGAGGACCCTGCCGATCAAAAGATTTCATTAACCTGTTGCAAAGTTGCACATTATATCCTCAGTCTGGATGAAAGCAGAGCCTCCTGAAACTGCACTGGTGGGCCTGGCACTCATGACAGCTGGGGCCGAGGGGATGTTTACTCCTCTGGGGCGAGGGGCCCAGGCCTTGCAGATGGTGACACAGAATATCGCACTGCCCTGGGACAGAACTACCTTTCTTTGCCACAACCACAGACATCATCCCTAGACGACGGAAGCTTGAAAGAAGATTTGGAATGGACTATTATGAGAACTAGCCAGATCTGAGAACTTCCGATGGCAAAACAGGCTCATATGCTCACTTCAGCACAGGTACTAAAATTGGAACGATACAGAGAAGATTAGCACGGCCCCTGTGCAAGGATGATACTAATTCGTGAAGCCTTCCATGTTTTTAGATCTCAGAGGGGAGAGGGGTGGAGGGGACAGGAAGAGATTAACCACAGAACATATATGCATATATGCATAACCTAACCCATGGACACAGACAAGAGTGTGGGGAAGGCCTGGGGTGGGGTGGGGGCTGGGTGGAGGAGGAAAAGTGGGAGGGAAGGGGCACAACTATAATACTCAACAATAAATAAAAATTTTTTTAAATAAGTAAAAAAAGAGGCTCACTACCTACCACAGACAAAGCAAATGTACTGAGGGCTTTTTGGTGCATGAACGTCACTAGGTTAAAGTCCCCGGTCACTCAATCAAACATAAGTCTAGGTGTTGAGATGAGGGTATTTTATAGTTGTGATTCAAGTTCATAATTAGCTGGTTTAAGTAGAAGAGATTATCCTACATAATCTGGGTGGGCCTGATTCAATCTGTTGAAAAGCCTTAAGAGCAGATTTAATACTTCCTTAGGGAGGAAGAAATTCTGCCTCCGGACATCGGCCCACCAGAGTTCCAGCCTGCCCCTCCTGAGGGCCTGCTCTGAGGATTTTGGATGTGCCTAGCCAACTCCCACAATCACGTAAGCTAATTACTTGCAACAAACCTTACTGTGTATCTCCTACTCATTCTACTTCTGTGATAGAAACTTGACTGCTACACACACTAAGGAAGATGATGAAAATAAAATGTGGTGAACACTAACGAAGTGCCAGAGGGCCATCACAATTGCCATGTCTCTCTCAGCCGGTCCTACTTCAAAGAGGCTCAACAAAGGAGAATCAGGATGAAACCACCAGGGTTCTTACTGGGCTAGGGGGAGAAGGGTGTCAGTGGTGTGACACCAGGGGATCTACACCTCCTGAAATGGTATATAAAATTTTCTGAAGTTACCAGATTTTAAGAGCCACTGTTTTAACCAACTGTGTTTAATCCCTGGCAAAGCCCTGAAAACCAAAAACAGAAGCAAAGATAATATCCACACCAACTTACCCCATGCAAACAGTGATGGTCTGTGTGGATTCACACTAAGTTTTACAAGCCTTAGTCAAAGCACTCAAAATAAAACCCACACAGAAGGCTTAACCTTCCGCTAAGATCAAGGGCAAGATCATTATGTAAAATGTGGGCATTTGTATGTTTTCTCAACCACAAATCCATCCACAGTACCCAAATTCACTTTGGAACATGGGCAGAAGACGAGTTTGGCGTACAAATGGTAGACATGATTTTCCCCTTGTGTCACATGGGTTTCACATGATCTTTGGCCGGATAGAATCTAAAGCAAGAGTCCTCAGAACATTGTCGTCTGTGGATACCTCTGCCAGGAGACTGACGGCCCTTCGCTTGCCATGGCCACAAACCCTTCCAAGAGGACACGGTGCTGAGACAGCAGTGAGATGAGGTCCAGTTTTTATCATTTGTTACAAGTAAATTCTGAAACTCAATAAATCTCAGAAATCAAAGTACGGATATTGACACACCAAAGATAAAAGCGACGAGAGATCAGTCCTGGATTACTTGAGGGCAAGCCCCACCTGTCATTTTGAGAACCGCTAATCTGAGCCTATACTTTTTTTTTTTTAATGTTACGTCTAGATATTTCAGGGTTTCTTTTCCTTTTGTTAAATTTATTGGGGTGACATTGGTTAATAAAATTATATAGGTTTCAAGTGTATAATTCTATAATACATCATCTGTATATTGCATTGTGTGCCCACCACCCAAAGTGAAATCTCCTTTGATCACCAAATTCTCGACCCCCTCTACCCTTCACTACCTCCCCTTTTCCTCTGGTAACCAGCACACTGTTGTCTGTGTCTATGAATTTGAGAACTGCTAGTCTGGAACTGTGAGGATGCTGTTTGTCTCAGTAAAACCAAATGTTATGCTGTTTGAGCCAGTAGATAGCATCATAAGAGCCACTACACATCTGTGGGTTGGAAGTCTCAGTGTATGTGTGCTGAAATGAATAGTGAGTGTGGATTATTTACTCATATGCTAATTTCAATAAGACAACCAAATCCCTTCCCCAAGATTCAACCTCCATCATTAACAGAGACAAAATTAGGATTTAAGAAGAGGTAAATTGCCTCCATCCATCCATACTAGAATGAGAATAAAGGTCCATTTAAAAAAAAAAACAAAAAATCTTGCATAATCCATAATGTAAATCCCTTGACTAGTCTTGGAAAGACACTAGTCTACGGAAAAAATTTAGGACTGGAACAACTTGGAAGCAAAGACCTGTGCAGACAAGTTCCATGCTCAACTGTTTATTATTTGTTTCCTGCCCATTAAGGTATCTTAATAAGCAGAACATTGTGCTAATATTCTGTGGGATGTAATGAGTTCTTTGTCACAGTTTTATAACAGCTTATAGTCATAAAAAATGATACTCACTTTGCTGTGACAGTACCACGTAAACTCTTAGAATTTAAAGAACAATATAATGGCATCTGTAGAGCAACTTCAAATTTCGGTAACACTGGAAAAAAAAGAATAAATATTTTAAAGAATCTATTTTCCTACCATTCACAGCTTGACAAAATCACAAATAGAATTGCTCTAAAGGAGTCGATAATTGGTACTCCGGAAACTGGGTTCATTATGATCCAAATACACATTAAGGCGCAGGTGAAAAGTACTTCTGTTCACCCAAAATCAGAAATCCCTGCAAAGCTAGGGACTAGGCAGTGACAGTGAGGGCCGGTTGCTGTGGACACTTGTGTCAGTGGAAACTTCCGTTGGTAGAATCTAAAATGTATCCAGAACCCTAGATTCAAAGGCATCTGAGTGCTAAAAGGCCAGGTTTTTATTCAGCTGTGACCCATCAGTGTGGCCTGACTACTTGATACACCACTTCCATATCGCTTGGTAAACAGCTACATTCAGAGCAGCCCTTCCCTCTGACCTTTCAGCAATTCGGTTACTAAAAGCACATTCTGGGACCCCAAGACTCTCCTTTGTCTGCACGATGTCACCTATGCAGTCACAGAGAGTCCCTGTCCTGTGAGACAAAGGCAAATCCAGGGACAGTCTAATGTAACAGATGGCTATAAAAAGAAAATTGTGTAGAATTTCTAGTTGATAACTATGATATGACTGCAAAATAATGATTTTTTTTTCTTGTGGCAGGTACTGATAGGTAATTCTAAAATCAGAAACTCCTAGTTAGGTCAGCTTTATATAATTAAGATATAAAATATCTTATCATGCCCTGCCCGGTTTGGCCCGGCGGTTAGAGCATTGGCCCGCGGACCAGGGAGTCCCGGGTTCGGTTCCTGCTAAGGGCATGTACCTTGGTTGCAGTTTGTCTCCAGCCTCGGTTGGGGTTGTGTGGGTGGTAAACCAATCGATGTGTCTCTCTCACATCGATGTTTCTTTCTCTCTCTTCCCCCCGCTCTCCCTTCCACTCTGTCCGAGAGCCTGGGAACTGGCACCAGGCAAACTGCTCAGCCGTTACCTCGCTTACCCAACCGAAACTCCCTCCCTGTTTCAGGAACTGTTTGCCCCGAACTCATAGATCAACTCCTGTCCCATTCTCCTGTCCTAGTCCAGGAACTGTTTGCTCTGGGACAATAGACTCACATTCCAGGGGCCCCCATGCGTAGCCCCTCAGGACCTAACCCTAAGAACAAGTTCCCGCTGCCACAGGCGCAGATATAAAAATCACAAACCCCAGCATCGGGCGCGGCTTCTCGGACTCGACCCCCGGAGTCTGTGAACCCGCCCGGAGTGTACCCAGTAAAGCCTGATTTCTGCTTATTCGGCTGTTTGGCTCTTCGGTTTCTTCCCACCTCCCACCGGCGGCGCCTGGCTACCTTACACACTCTATCTGAAGATAAATGCAAAAAATGTCCTTGGGGAGGATATATATATATATATATATATATGTATATATATATATATATATCTTATCAATATTACTACTATTTGATATAAAGAACTCCCCCACAATATATAAAATTTTTGTTTCCTTTCATTGGACAGAAATATTTCTTTCTCTAACTTCACTGACCAAAGAAATAGATCAGTCTCATAAAAAGGCATCTCACCACCCAGCCAGTGAGGCTTAGTGGTTGATCCATGCACCAAGGGGTCACCAGTTTGATTCCCGGCCAGGGCACATGCCCAAGTTGTGGGCCAAATCCCCAGTGGGGGGCATGCAGGAGGCAGGCAATCGATGTTCTCTCTCATTGATGTTTCTATCTCTCTCTCCCTCTCCCTTCCTCTCTCTCTAAAATCAATAAAGGAAAACTTTTATTTTTTTTTTAAAGGCATCTCACCTTTCTATCAACACAAGGGAAGTATCAAGGAAGCCAATGGGTCAACAACATAGGGTACACCTCCAGCTCCAAACCAAGCTAAAGACCTTGGTGTGCCAAGACTCCTGGACTCTAAACCAGTCTAGGATTAGAGAGTCAATAAAACCATCTGGATTAACTGTGACCTTCCTCCAAGGTTCTTCACCAACACAGAAGTTAGGGGACACTCAGAGGTAGAATTTCCTTAGAACAGAGAAATTCAAAAGTCCCCTCCTCAAACATTATAGGCTGGCAATCAATTCCCCACCTCCATTATTCTCCATTCAGCAACATATCACCTCCCAGCACCACCTCTATGTGAAATGAAAATAGCCTATAAAAACCTTGGCCACCCTTGATTTATTCTTCTAAATCAGGGCTGTCAAAAAATAAGATAAAATGAAACCAGGCCGGTTTGGCTCAGCGATTAGAGTGTCGGCTTGTGGTCCAGAGAGACCCGGGTTTGGTTTCCACTAAGGGCACGTACCTCGGTTGTAGTTTGTCCCCAGCCCTGGTTGGTCATGCGGGTGGCAGCCACTCAGTGTGTCCCTTTCACATCCATGTTTCTCTCTCTCTTTCTCTCCCTCCCACTCTATCTGAACAAAAAATGGAAAAATGTCCTCAGGTGAGAATAAAAAAAAAAAATTATAAAATGTGAGCTACACCATGTAATTTTACATTTCTAGTAACCACATTTTAAAAGTTTGG